AACACACTTAAAAAGAAAAAAGGAAAAGATTAAGAAAAATATGAAGAAAGGGTTCCTTTGAAAACAATGACCACTTTAAGAGGGTTCTCACTAGGAATTACTTTTCTCTCTCTATAACTACAAACCTTGTTGGATCACATTTTGATTGCAAGATGCCATGAACAATTCCACCTTTTAAATTGGATACTTCTATAACATGTTGACGATCAAGTTCGTGTCATTGACCGATGATTCCTAGTTGTCATTTTACCTCCTACAACATGCAGCATGATGAGCTTTCTCATATAAACATCATGAGAGCAATAGTAAGTGATGCCTCAAACAAAGATAGAATAAATAATGTAGCCAAAGTGTACATCTTGTAACTTCATGTCTACATGAGCCTTCGTATGAGCCTTCATATTTGGATAAAATGTTGTCTGGCTTGCCTTGGTACTTTGTATGTTTCTTGTGGATGTATTTCCATGACATCTTTATTCAGCTTAGAATCTCAATATTCAAGTATGATTGGGGAATCTATAAATAATCTTGAAAGATGGGATATTTGTAAAAGAGTGATAGTTGGTTATGTGTTAAAATTTGGCCTAATTGGGCCACATACTCCATTATTTAGGAAGATTGTTGGTGAAACGCCTTATGTAGATCTTGATCCCATAATTTGCCACCCTTTTTGCATAATAACTAGGGATGATATACACTACTATGATATATAGAAAGGTCATCTGTATTCTAAATAGCTCCCTCTATAAATTACTCATAAAAATTCATGCACGATATGTCAAGATAGAGGTTAAAATCTCATACAAATGAATGATATTACAAAGAAAAACCTTTATGATGTTTGAAAGGGGAGAAATGAATATATTTGATCAGTCAATTGACAACCACAAAATGACACTAAATCCATCTGAATTTAGTAATCCTTTCATAAAATCCATATAAATGTGGTGCCAATTTTTTTTCTAGGATGACAAGTGGTTGGAGGAAGCCACCTAGAGATAAAGTGTTTGAAAGGGAGAGAAATTAAAATATTTGGTCAGTTATTTGACAAACACAAAAATATGATATTAAATCCATCTAAATTTAGTAATCCTTTCATAAAATCTATTAAAAGTGTTGTACCAATTTTTTTCTAGGATGGCAAGTGGTCGAAGGAAGCCACCTAGAGATAAAGTATCTATCTTACTCTACTGATTGAGAGGACAAAGTTGTACATATTATTAAATTATCTTTTCATCCCCAGTGAGTATATCTTTTTACCTAATTATTTTATATCTCGAATGAAACATAACTACTCGCCTATTATTGAGTCATGAAATCCATGTAAAATTAAATCTATGAGCATGGATTCATTTGATAGTACTAATCATCTCTAACATAAAAGATGGTCGTGTTGTAGTCAAAATCTTTGGAAGTTCTCTAGATTTTACTATAATTCACTAATAATTATTTTTAGCAACATGTTTGCTTGATTCTCTCATGCAATCAAATCTAGATTGAGCAATTCTAGCCATGTTACTTTAGTTGATTGGAGCTTCATGTCACTAGATTTTTGAGACAGTATTATTGCCAAATTTTCAACTTTGGCCATGCTTTGAATCTCAATTTTTTTAACAACCACCTCTGATCCTCAAGTACCACTTGTCAATGCTCTAAGAAGACTTTAAATTATGTTGACTTGTGTAAATGATAAATATTTTTCATAATAAATAATGTCTTTATTTCAACACAATCAATACCACAATTATTTCATGCTCATGAATTGTTTTTAATTTATTTGATGATGAGAATGTATGACTGAAGAATACAATGTGTTATTGACACTACATGAGTATTGCTCTAACCTTGATGTGGTATGTGCCAATTTCTAATTCAAAAGACACTAAAAATATATGAAAGTGTCACTACATATGTTGTTGTCATTATTTTCTTATGATGTTGGAAAATCGTCTCATCAACTTACTCCTAAAGGAACACATTGCTATTATATATCCAACCATACCCAAAAAAGTAATTATATATGGTCAAGCCCATATATTCTTGTAATTCTCTCATATTTGTAGGAGATGAATTTTTTGACACCACTTGTTTATTCTCTTGTTTCATCTTTACACATTTGGTAGAGACTCACTGTCCCACTACTCAATTTTATCCTACCCAAATGCACACCTTTTGAGTTAATGTGTAATTGATGTTCCAAAGTAGAGAGAAAACCTAGAATAGGTATTGCATGCATGTTTTCTTATTGGAGTTGAAAATAAAAATGTTTTCAAAGAAGAGTACAGCTAATTTTTCAAAGAATTATCAAAATTATGCAATTCATGAGAGTTTGAAAGGTCATTGAGATTTTGAAAAGATTGAAATAATGATGAGAAAAAACTTAGTATCCCTCTTGTGTTTAGAATGCTATCTTGAAGATGTCTTCTTCTTTTATTTGAATTTAATGATACTCTAACTTTAGATCAATCTTGGAAAAAATGGTGTTATGGAATTCATCAATCAATTCTTCAACAAATAAGATCATAAATATGTCTAAAGATCATGAGTTTATTGATTGTGTGGTAGTTCACATAAAAAATTCACAAGCCATCTCCTTTACCAAAAGTGTTAGGCTTGAATAAGAATTGGTGGATTGCAAGATGATGCTTGTGATGCACATCTCTTAGATGAATCACTCAATTTCCTCCTAAATGTGAGGATAACAAAAGTCTATATTATTGATAAGTTTGGAGTTGGGTTCCAAGGTAATTAATTATATGGTCAATTCTCTTTTGGGTGGAAGTTGGTTAATCTCTTTAAATACCTTCAAAAATTAAATTTGAAGATATGTTTCCTAGGTTCTTGTGACATAGGTGACTTAGTGTACATTCATGGCTTTTGGTGTGACCTAATATAATTTCATCAGAGGCTTGTTCCTTTAATTAATAACTTTGATAACAATTTCAAGGAAACACCTTGTTGATTTGGTTAAGAATTAGCTTGAAGGTCCTCATGTTGTTGTTGTTAGTATGTTAGAAGTGATAGGGTTCTCTATTCCATATCTAGTTCAATTTTTTTCATACTATTCATCCATTCATATTCAAAGATCTATGTTTGCTAGAGGGAAAAGTAAAAAAAATTTCTATTATTATAAACAATTGTAGCTTTGATCAAACTGCCATGGCAAATTCTCTTACTTTCCACTTTGCCTCAAGTGATTTGGTGCTTCAATCTATCTTGAGATAAATTATTTCTCTTTGATGTAGCTTCAAAATTTCAAGGTGTAAGATGATGATTCCATGAAATTGATATTAATTGTGAGCTCTTATGAGTAAAATCTCCAAAAAAATTTGTTTGACCACTAGATTTTGTAACCCAAGTTGATAGTGATATCCTTGGGCATACTTATTACATGAGAGGCACAAAACTTGAGTGTGTTGGGCTTGGATCTCTGAGGGTGATTGAATTTTTCTTAGAGCTTGCCCTTTATGGATTGTACTTGTTCCATCTTTGCCCCCCTTGGGTTCTCCTTGTTAGGTAGAAAAACATTTGAGATCTTTTTAGGGGCAGAGGAAATAATCTCAGTTTACCTAAGGAAACAAACTTTAGTTCCAAACATCTCAAAGGTATTTTCAAAGATTAATTCAATAAAATTTCCAATTACTACAACCATTAACTTGATTTTTCTCAATAATCTGCGTCAAAATCTTACTATTCAATTTCTAGGAACGACCCCGACTAATTATTACTAAAATGTGCCAAGAGTTGATTGCAAAAGGTTATCCTAATCTTTTAAACATTCTTGCTCCGCCATCCATTAAAACCAGGTGAAGGGTTTGCCCTCAAGACTCATTCCTACATCAATTAATTTCCTAGGGCTTATCAGCCGGTGTACTGAAAAATATAATTCAACACAAAAAACCCATCCCCTTAGTTTTCACCTGTAAAAGGAGCATTTTGAGCTTATGTGCGCCATACCATGGTTCAAATTTTTTTCTTGATTGTAACTGGCAGCTACTGTCGATTCCTCTTAGGGTAAATCGTGAAGGAGAGGCCAATATCATGGGAACAGTCCTCCCTGTTGACAAAAAAAGTGGAGTTGACCAACCTCGACTGGACGCCTTCTTCTGGGTTGTACGTGGTAGATGATGTCTGGGTTGAAGATGAAACTCTTGAACAGCTTCAGGAAGGTAGCCACGTCTTGTTTTATGTCAGGCAGATCCTGACAGAGTTCATCGACCTCCTTTTCCAGTTATTTGACTTTACTATTTGATTTGGGTGGATATGACAAAACTTAGCTCTAATACTCATATGATTAGACCCACTGATTTCGAGGAAGAAGTCTCGGAATTTAGGGAGAGAAAGATGAACAGATTGACAAAGGGAAAAGAATGTTTACTGATGATAGCAAGATTAAAGGACACAATTGAAAAAAAAAACAAGAAAAAGATTAAGGAAAATCTCAAAAGAGGATTCTGTTGAAAAGTGGTGACCACTTCGCGAGGGTCGATCCGAGAGGGTTCTCACCGAGGACTATCTTTACTATTCTCTCCCCCTACCCTTACGGGGCCCTATACAAGATATTTTGACTGCAAGACGCCCTGAACAATTCTACCCCTTTTTCTTGGATACTTCCGTAATATGTTGACTGAACAATGCATCAAACAATGGGGGATTTCGAGGTCAAAATATTATTAGTTGCAGGTGCATTCACCGAATGCATAGAATTCAGTCTCCGTCTTCCACCTAGAGAGGAAGAGAGATTTCTTCTTGAGTGGAATAAGAGAGAATTTTCTTGAAATCCAGAGAGCCAATAGATCAGCAGCCATAAATATATGCATGATGCATTGTATGATGACAAGATAATCCACACAGACGCAAGCTTTTTCTTTCTATATCCGGCCAAATGATTACAGGATCAGTGGACCATCACAATATACTAATTACAAGAGCCGTAGGCGATGGGGGAAAAAGAGGAGAAATTCAGTTCTACGGAGAAACGACTTCCCTTGCGGCCCGGATCAGTGGACGAGCAGCAAATCTGGATTGAAGGCACCGAGAGACGGAAAATCAGCTGCGTCCTGCCCCGCAGGACTGACGGGAACCAGGATCATGGCCTTGGCGGCGAGAAGCTTCTTCCTCTGGGGGAAAATCGGACCGCTAACTCCAGTCAAGAAGCACGGGAGGCCGTCAGCGGCGGGGATCGGGGGAGAGGTGACGGTGGCTTCCGCATCGACGGCAGATGAGGAGGGAAGCGGGGAAAGGCTATCCTGATGGCGGCCGTGGTCGCCATGGAGGAAGATCCCACCCCTTTGCCCCATGAGGGAGCTTCTCCGGGAGTCCCGGAAGCGCGCGAGGGCCCCCGGTCGGAGGAACCTGTGGATCCTCTCCTCGATCTTGGACGCGGAGACGGATCTTCCAGTGCTTCTCGTCTTCTCCTTCATGGCGACGATGCGAGAGAGAGAGAGAGAGAGAGAGAGAGAGAGAGAGAGAGAGGGGGAGCGGGAAAACAGGTAGGAGGAAGAAGAGGAATCCGTTTGAGAACCGCCTTGAGATCGAAAGAGGGAGAGAGAACATGGGCTGAATATATATAGAGAGAGAGAGGGAGAGGGAGAGAGAAAGGGATAGGCGGGAAAGGCCAGTTTAAAATGGGGAAGGTTCCAGCGTCTTGGAAATATCCCCCTATAATAAATAAATAGTTTACATATACTCTCCACGGAGCAATGTAGGGACATAACTGTAACATTGAGGTTTGTTATACAAAAACATCCCAATGAGGATGTTTTAGAATAATACATATTTATGTGGTAGGATAAGTATAAAACTACCCACACTTATATGATACAGTCGATCTCACCTTGACGCCTATCTCAGTGGGGCGATCACAGCTGCGTCGAGGGGAGATTGCTCCGGAGGAAGAGAGGCGAAGGCGGGGAAGGGGAAGGGGGAAGGGAAGCGGAAGGGTTGAGTTGAAGAAGATGGTCGTATTCTGAAATCGACTGTGTTCGGAGGGGGGAATCTCCTGATTTCGGCAGACGGGTCTTCTCGAGGGATTTCTCTACATCTGAACCTTGTACTTGTTGATGTGGTAAGGGGGAAATGGTACTAAGTTGAAGACAAGGTGCGAGGAGAAGCCGGGGAGGAGACGATGTCGAAGCTTTTCTCGAAGGTTGCAAACTTCTTCAGCTCCCGGTCGCTGGTGGGAGTGGACAAGGTCGGCAACCGCTACTTTGTGAGGAAGGAGGAGGTCGACGGTGCCTGTGAGTCGCCATCCTAATCGTGATTATCTCTCCCTCATGTCTCTGTCCTTCTGTACCTTTTTTGATCGGGGAATCTTCGCCTTTTGCTCTTAGGAATTTTCACTGCCTGAAATTTTTAGGCTTTATTTTTTTCTGTCGTCCGTTGTCCTGACCTCTCTTTCTGTTTATAACTATCTTGGTTTATCTAGCACAAAAATTTTAGGCTTTTTTCTTGAAAACTTCTGCGAACAGATGGTGGCCATTATATTTGATTCCTGACTATGCGATCTGATGACGATGATGTTGACATTGTCAAGGGCGTAAAGTGATTCAGTTTGTGTTGTGTGAATAATCCGGGCCATTCTTGTGAGTGGACATATAGACGAGTGAGGGCTTATTTTTGAACTCTTTATTGCGGCAAATGGACTTCCAGCCTTCATTTGAGAAAGGTTTCTCCATTACATTCTCAAGATACGTGTTCTTATTGATGATGACGGTAATGATGACATTGTAAGTAGAAGTAAGCTGATTCTGATTCTATTGTATGATCTAAGATTTTTCTTTCATGGAAGAAAGTAGAAATGCACGAGTATTTATTAGGATAGTTTTCACCTGACTCTTTTACCTCTAAGCTGTTAGCCATCTGAGAAACGTTTCTGCGAATTGTTGATGTTGATGATGATGACACAATAATGATAGCTTTGTAAAGGGGCGCAAGGCAACTTGTTTGTGATGTACGCAATATCTCACCTGCTTGGAACCTCAAACTGAATAGCATTTATTGAGCCCACTAGTTGATAGGTCATAAAAACCATAAGTGTGCAATGCTGAGCCTAGATCACACACAAGAGCTGACTATCAATTAAATTTTACGGTTCATAAAGATCACAACTAGTTTTAGTCCTTTCCTGTTAAACAATTATTTACAATGCATCCTTGCATCCGCCTAATTCCTAGGAGTAATGTTACTTGTTGGACTGCTCAATGATTGTATTTATGAGATGTTGATTCACAATAGTGGAATAGGGCAGTATTGAAAAGTGTCTGGGAAGTAACCTCCTCAATTTTTTCCAGTCATGGGTCATAATTGGAATACTTTTTTACTAGGCTTAATAGAAATCAATACTCTCTCAAGTTTTAACTTCATGACATTCAAAACATTTCGACTTATAAGTTCTGCATTTTACCTGGCTATTGAGAGAATTTTTTGGTGTAAAATGTAGCTTAGATTGTTATTTTCTTCCATGGCGTTCTGTGGGATGTGCAGACATTTCTCTTGCAGCAGCATCAAGTATTTAACATATACATTGCTTAAAAGCGGATATTGTCGATTTATTTCTCTAGTTCTGTCTGAGGATCTTGTTTTCTGATCTTAACTATGTATGGCAGTGAAGGAGAAGCGCTGGGTAATATTCAAAGGAGAGGATGATCCCACTTCGATTCCTGGTTAGTAGTATGCAAACTATAGTTCATTTATTGCTAGCTTCTCTTGTCAACTCTGGTTTGCTCTGATTTTTTTCTGAAGCTGAAGAACTTTCTTCATGATCACATCAGTTGATTTCATTAATGACAGACCTCCAATTGAAAAGTAACCATTCAAATTAGATAATGGATTCTTAACGCATGGAATGTTTTGTTTATTTGCTTTGCTTATTTTGTTTGTCGACATCATTTGCATATGGTTTTTGTTTGTCTGAACAGTTGATTGAGCCAAAGTAAATATAATGTTCTAGCCAAGTGATTTTTCTGCCTTTCAAACTCTTCTGGCCTTATTAGTTGTGGATATATGTGATTGTAGTTGAGTGGATATGCTGGCTGAATGGACAACGGAAGAAAGCTCCTTCTCCTGAGGCAAGGATAGTGATTATCATCTTCCGTTTTAACTGAACTCTATGAAAGATTTTTGCATTTCCCCAACTAATTCATCCGCATAATCCTCATTTTTCATTATTATTGAATGAAAATCACAAAACTCAGGGGGTCTTTGTGACAATGTTAGTGATCACTGAATGTGCTGTAACTTAACATCTTGCATTGTTCCATATGTTTTCAACATAATTGCCAAAAAACTATATTAGATAGGTTGGTACACTATCACATGGTCACTTCACATATTTAGCAATGCCTTTTGGATCAACTCTAACTTGCTCCCTGAAATTCAATTGTCATAAGACTATTAGTCAAAAGTTTTTATTAGCATACAAACTTTTCTATACCTTAATTTTAGGGTTCTGCCAAACTAATTCATTGTAACATATTAGAAGGAACTTATTGCAAATATTTTGTATTATTGTGAAATTTATAAAAAAAGTATGTTGGAGGGTCTATTATGGGATGGGCATCTTTAACTTCGGGAAGACAGTACCTTAATTGCTGCTCTCTTGATGGAGTGAATCTTTTGCTCTCATGTCCAAACGCTGGAAAATCTCTATTACTCTCTTTATTTAGGAAACCATGTTTCAGATGGATCTGCTTTAGATGAGACAAAAGAATGATCACAGCTTCAGACATAATCGTCTTCCAAAGAGCTGAAGAGGCTATTTAATATAAGTAAACTCAGTTGTGTTCATCCTTTTGTTTAAGTCAAATCCCATCACCACAATCTATCATATTTTTTGTTTTTTTCTCTTCTCACGTATGGTCTTTAAGCAACGTAATATGCTGGTTTTCTTCTTGTAACTTCCAAAAATTTATCTTTTACAATCACTTTGTTAGTTCATGTTTGATCGCAGTTTTTTTTGTCAAAATGAAATATAGTTCAATGGTAGCCACTGCAATTGTTTTTGTGGTGCTTATCTTCAGGAAATGCTTGAGCTGGAGGCAAGACGTGAACGTCTCAGAATAAATATTGAATGTAAGCATCTCTCAATTCGCCATTATGATTGAGTGCTTTTTCTTTTGCAGTTGGGTACCTTTTTCTATCTCCCTACTTCATTGTGTAATTGAATTGTATGATCTTGGACACCATGCTTGCTGAGATTATTTGCTATGATTTTTTAGTGAAATGATTATTATCATTTAAAATGCAAAAACATGAAGATCCCGAGTAAAGAAAAGAGCTCACCCTAAAGATAACGATTTTGCAGTAAAGAAGGAAAATTGCATTCCATATCAAGAAGCATTACCATTGAACCGAAATTAGTTTGACCTATGTGAATATTGCAAATCTGATGACAACAGCCTGAGCTGACTTAAGTTTTGGGGTTTCTTGGTTGGCTCTCATGATTGAGTCACCTGATATAATTTCAGAGTTCTTGGTATATGAAATTTCTGTTTTTAAGAAGGTCATTTTTTTCAGCTGCAATATACCTGTTTTCTAAGTGTTCTGATGTATTAATGGATTTGTTAGTAGCACGTAAAATTGACTAATGCACCATTCTTTTCCTTCCTTCCATCCACTCTCTATCTGATGTTTTTTAACGCTTCAATCTAATTCTTACACACCTGATGCCAGAAACTGGGTCATGGTTAGTACTTTTTATCTCTTTTCTATTCTCAAACTTGAAAGTCGAGCACAATTCCTTTGTTCTTACTGTATCTGTTTCCATTACATTATTTCATGTGTCAGATATTTACAGTTTCATTTTTATGTGTAAAATATAAAACCAGCCATTATTGTCATAGAAGAATGATGAGACATAATGTCTGTCGATTCCACTTCAGACAGAATTTATCCGTTTATTTATTTATTTTATTGTCCATGAACCTTGAATATTTTCATGCAGTGAGAAAGAAAGAAGAAGAGGAAGAAAGGAAGTCCAAGGGTGGCATTGTTCAACATAGCAGAAGCACTGGTAAGAAATAAGACAATCGTCTATGTAACCTTATCCAGTCCACTTTTAATTTTCAGTGTTAGGATAGTTAGAGAGAATCTGATTTCTTTCTATAGTCTGATGGTTATCTTTCACTTGAACCTTTTTAAAATAAAGACCAGAAGGGGTTCATGAGTTATTTATAGACTTCCTTGGAAACTTGAGTTCAGCAAATGATAAATTTTATTTTTCTTCTAAATAGTATAGCTTTTGTTTCTATATTCGGTTTTGGAATCAGGGGGGCGACTTAATTTCAACACAGAGTTGCCCTCTTCCCCCTTAAAAGGTGTGCTTTCTGCCTAAGGTTCCTTTGTACATCTGCTAGTGGGCTAGCGATTACAACCTACTTGGGTAACCCTGCTGGTTTCCTGATCAGTTTTTAATTTATACTAG